TATGAAGCCTAATGTGTTTGTTGCATTTAAACGTGTCACATCAACAAATTGTGATTTTTACAAAGATTGAATCACTTTCTGTACAGGTGTATCAGTACAGGTGTAAGACAGACACAGAGATCTGTTCGCATAATATACCACATAGCAATCTATTTGATTTGTCAGATAATTCCATTATAAATGAGTCGACTCCATGAACAGGGTTTAAAGGTCCAGTTTGGGGATTCAAATTAGCAGCAATCTCACCCAGAGGTCAGCAAGCAGCTATAGAGAAATGACTGACACTCAAAGCAAGCCCTTAATCTTAGTATAATATAAACGGATAAGTTAAATTAGGAAAACACCACTGAAGCTGATTAATCCATGCTGTTAAACCCTGTCCCTATGAGAAGATTTTTTTTGTCATAAAATGTAAATAAAATGAAATGAACTTTAGAACAAAGACTGCCACATGGCATTATTTTTTAACCATGTGGCAGTGGTTTGCTGCTTGCTTGCTATAACTTTATAGCTAATTCTTTTTCTACATTCCTTTTCTGCTAGTCACTTAATGAGGCTGGATCAGAGAGCCATCCACTGCCCTATTCGCCTCTACCGCGAGGATCCAGAGATCCCATGACCCACAAAGGTAAGAAAAATATTTATTTTCTTCAAAATTAAGAAGAAACATTGAGATCCTGGTTCTATAGATTATGTAAATGAGTCATAACGCTAACAGCAGCAGAGAGTGGGAATCTATTGAACTTGAAACTGAGTTGAAGTTATCTATTCTTATTGATCTCTTCTCATCTGTGTGATGTGTTGATAGTGGGAATAAATCTGAGTAATCTCAGCTAACTCTGATCTGAGTGTAAGCGTGGGAGCATGCAGTACATACACAGAATGAAGCATCCTTGATCTGTTGATACTAGACATTGATTAGGCCTCATATTGACCCAGTGTAGTATGTTGATGTAATTATGTAGCAACTTCTTAACATCAAACACTGCACTCTAGAAAGAATACAACACATTCATTAAAACGATACACTGCTCTAAATTAATGGCGAAGGCCACCTACTGCTTTTGTACCAGATACTCAGCTGAGACTTTGAGAAAAAACAAGTCAAGTTCAATATTATTATACGTATCATACCCACAGGTCATTATCCCGTAATCAGCTGAAATGATTTACTGCAACCAAAATTAACTAATTCAATTCATTCCACTTGCATTTTTTTTTTTTGCATGAATTCACAACAAAAGTAACATCAAGGTGTTTTATATTGTAAGGTAAAGACCCTACAGTAATACAGAAATAACCCAACAATGACACCCTATGAGCAAGCACTTGGTGACAGTGGGAAGGAAAAACTCCCTTTTAACAGGAACAAACCTTCAGCAGAACCAGCCTCAGGGAGGGTGACTCATCTGCCGTGACCGGTTGAAGGTAAAGTGAGGAAAACCAAATGTGCATTTTAGTCAGTTCGTTTGACATTTTAGTGGTTTTCTTAATAATTAAACTGAATTAAATAAAGGAAGTGAATATATTTTATTTTAATACCACCAGAAACAAAAGTAAAATGCCCCCTATACACACATTCCAGCTATTAACATAAAGTAACATAAACACAACCTATGCTTCAGCCACAGTTCCAGAGATGAGCAGTCTCTTATGGATCCAGCATATGTACAACATATGGAGGTGCAAAACCATTTAAGGCTTTAAATGCAAGCAGTAGCACTGTATACTGGATTCTGTAGTGCAAAGGAAGCCAGTGTCAGTAATGCAATCTCTCTCTTTTTTCTTTCAGTCAGTAATTTTCTGCTGCATTTTTGGACAAATTTTAAACAAGCAAGAAATGATTTACTAACTCCAGTATACTGTGCATAACAATAGTCCAGTCTACATGTAACAAAAGCATGCAGAAAACATCAGAGCTGATGGTTTTAGACAAAATTTTAGTCCGTGTCAAATTTGTGTCAAGGATTTTAAACCTGTGTTTTAAAGTGGGTAAGGAGCCCAGGTTATGTGTCAACCTAGTTCATAGTGGAGGACCTAACGATACGGCTTCTCTTTTGGATTCATTTGACTGTAAAAACTGTGGGATGTTTCTATATCCAAGATGCAGACAGTGGGCCTTCATATGATCCAATAAGAGGACGCGTGCTGATAGTTTAATAATAAAGATAATTTTTGTCTTGCAAAAGAAAATAAACATGCGAAGCAGTGTCTTCTATTTTCCAAATTCATGTTTATATATAGACTTTTTGGAAACCCAGATTTAAGTAAGCCTGACTCTTGGACTTGGCTTTGTGGAGTTGTTTAAAGCAGAATTAACAGATAGGGTACTTATTAAGCCAAACTTATTTCAGGGTTCAGGGTAGTTAACTATTACTTCATGCTTGAGAGATTCATCTATGATGTCACATTGCAAGATATTTGTGATGAGCTGACAACCACTATAGTAGCATTACTTATCAGTTGCGAGTGCTTCTAGGCTAATATACAGTAGAGTAGACCTCCATCCACATTAATGGTGCCAAGGACAGATCTATGTCATGAAAGCCAGGATGGTGGCAGCTCTCATCGGAAGTAAGGACAGAAAGAGCCTTGTGCTTTGTCAAAATCAGACCTGGCTAAGAACAACTCATTTAAAGGTGAGGGGACCTGCCACATGAAATATTTCTCCCCTCTGACTGAGATCAGAGTAACAGTGACAGTCTCCATTTGTTATTTTTATGATGCGGCGCTGCAGCCTTAGATAACACAGCCCTCGTCTTCGCCCTTCACCTCCTCTTCGTGTCCCTGCCTCGTCGAGCCCCTACCCCCGCTCTTATTTTTTTCTTTCCCCCCGTTTATTTGCTCTTCTCAAACACAGTTGAGTTTTCTCTATGTGTGGGAAACGGTCACAGTAACTCCTCAGTCAAAGAGAACAAAGTGGTGACAAAGCAGCGCTACAACAAACAGAATGGTTGAGACAGTAATTCCACACAAATGCGTGCTGAGGTAAATTCAGTATATGAACAAAAGCGCTGAAACAATGCGCTGCATAATTTTGTGCAAATCACTGCAGAACTCTTGTTTCAACACACACGGTAAATTAAACAAATCGCTACATGTTTGTTCAAAATTGGTTGCAAAAGTAAGCCACTCTGGTCTTACTCTGTATCGTGCTTTTCCCACTGCAACTGCTGCTTCTTGTGCCATGTGATTAGCCTGTTTGCTTTATGCTTTAATCTTGAGAATCACAATCAATACTTGAATAAAAAATGCACTTCAACAGCTTTGGCTTTTTAAAGTACACATTATGCGGTATGTGATTGTGACAGTAGTTGTTTGGGTTAATGGTGTGGTCTTTTTAATAGAGAGGCAAGCGGGAGGCTGTTTGGTTTTATCCGGACTCCAGAAATAGCGGCCATATCAGCAGCGTATCTGAGATCGCTCCGACGGTGTCTCAGAAACACTCCGCCTTACCTCCCTTGAACCCCCTGCACCTAACTACTCCACCGTGTTACCTGTTTGAAAGCCCCAGAGTCTGGTTGGCAGAGGTAATTACAGCAGCTAGGAGCTCCCAATGGAAGGCAGCACTGGCAGGTCACTGCCCAGGGACAGAGGGGTGGAAACTGTGCTCCTGTCTTGGTTGGTGAAGGACACGGAGTAAAACAAGGTAGCAGAGAGAAGAGCAGGGGAGAGTAGTGAAAAAACATTTGCTGCTGTGGTAGTGAAATCTAAATCGTAATTTCATAGACATCTGACAGCAGACAGAGAGGAAAGTAGGGGGGAAAGGACGGGGAAATCGGGAAGAGGGGCAGCTTTAAACAGTGAAAGGAGATGAGACTTCAGAATGAGAGGAAACTAGACAAAAGGCAAAGTGAAGGAGGATAGTGCGCGGCTCTAGAGTGTCTTGACGAAGGCGTGACACAGAGTGGAGTACATAGTCTGGCAGAGGGGCCCGAGGATCGTCCACTACTGTCACCTTAGCTCTAACTCTCAGTGCTGGTCCAACTGTCAGCTCGACTCTGAATCTAACAGTCCAAGATGGAGTCTCAGTGTAAAGTATAGTTTGCCTTCATGAAGACTGGTCTATACTACACTATTACACAGCCAATTACACGATGCAGTCTTGTGTCTTACAGTGAAGATGTATCATTTCAGCCTGGAAAAGAAAAAAAAAAGTGCTGAGTTATTTATTACCACCTTGTCTTTTTCTTGAGGTGGCACATTTTGAAGTCAGATTTACATGTTGATTTCATAGATCTAATTATAGTTGTAGTTAAGAGGTATGTATGTAAAAAAAAAGTAAAGCTTGAGACTTGATTGATGTATCCGTGTGCACAGAAGAAATTTTAATGAACTGCCTTTCATTTCCTTTGTATAATTCAATAAATATGCCAGACACTAGAAGCTGCTTTTTCACATGTATCAGATTAAATCTGATTGGGCCATCCCTCAGCAGTGACAGCTGTAAATGAAGGGGATGTCTCTGTACAAGCCGAGTAAATAGATCAAGAAAAAAAAGCCCCACCTGGTATCTGCCTTACAGTATGAGCCCTGGGCCCTTTTAATCTCGCTTTTCTGGGCCTGCTTCCAGCTACTTTGTATGTATGTAACTTAAATGGTGCACAACTGTTATTAAAATCCCCAGAGGAAAGCAGCCTTCAAAGAAAAAAAAACCCCTCCTTTCTGATGATACCCATGGGGCACCTCGCATTTGTTTAGAAGTTCGCTTTTGTTACATGTCGAGGTGATCTGCACCGCAGCTCCTGCTACAATCCCCACAGCTCCCTCGGCACTCCTCCCCGAAATGGAGCAACGGGAACAGATCCAAGCTAAGAGTAAACTGTTTTACAGTTGCTGCACAACAAATAAACAAACATCTGGAAGCATTCAGAGTGGCCCATTAGAAGGGCTCTGGGCTTTGCCAAAAAGGGGTAAATGATGAGGAATGGGCTGTCGAGAGGCTGGTGGAGACAGGGGAGAGGCCAGATGACAGAGCTGTGGGTGCTAAGCACTGCCTTTTAGAGCTCAGCTGGGCTCAGAGAGATCTACACCTGCTGCTATCTCCTCCTCCCCTCCTCTCCTCCATCAGACATCTGGATGGGATACATGACTAATGGATGACTAAACTGCTAGTGTTGAAACTTAGCTGTTGTCATTATGAAGGAAAAGGTTGTTTGTTTGACTGATGACTTAATGTCCTCTGTACAACACACTTGGTAAAAGTAAAAATCAGTTTGACGGCTTTAAAATGAAAAAAATAGATATACCCCGATGTCTGTTTATCGTTGTTTGTGTAATAACCAGAGCTGATTGTATCTTCTATAAGTGCTTAGATTAGATGCTGTTGTGAATGCAAATCTGTTTTGAAAACATGTTCCGCTGATTATGAAATTGCTTCCTAAATTAACTGGCATTACATCAGACATCTGTTTCTTAACCCCGTAGGTTTTTCTGCACCGAGCTGTTTTTTCCGTGCTTATCTTGAGTGATAACTTAGTTCTGGTCGATGTCAATCTGTAGATAGAATGACGACTCTGCTCTTTCAGCTGACAGTCCTTCCATTCTGGTTTGGGCCACATGTTCCGAAAGTATGGAAACATCCTCTCTGGAACTTAGTGAGAAAACACAGAGCAAAGCTTTGACGTT